GTAGAGTTTTGTTTTATTTTAAATACAATAACTATATAGTTTTCGTAGGTCAGACTTTTGGAAAAAGTTGGTGTAAGGGATCATCAGAAAGAGTTTTTTTGTATAGATACTTATTATAATATTACTATTATTTAGAGTTATATATATATATAAACAAACTGATATCAATATATATCAATCATACTTTATTATTTGTTATGTTTTATACTTTGCCAATATAATAGAAAAAACTAGTTATTGGGCTTGTCTATAACTGATCTAGCATTACCAACCTACAAAATTTCGCTGTTAGATTAGGGTTAGGTTTTGCTACTAAGTTAGGTTAGAAAGAGCTTTAATTGTATCAAAATTTCACAATAATAACTTTTTGTTAGTGCACAGAAGGCAGTTTCATAAATAAAATATCAAGCTATGAGCAATTTTTGATTTTTGCATTTCTCTGCATTACACCTGATCCTGAAATCTGATTGGCCAGTAAAATTTTTAGATTGGTAATATTAAGACAGTTCTTGTTTATCCATGATTGAATAACTCAAATTAAATTTTAACTTAAAGCAAATTTTAATTTTATTTTATTATACTATTCACATAATTATAATTTCATTCTTGGTAATCAGATATCTTACAAAATATCACTATTGTGAAGGTTAGTATAAACACTTTGCATTATAATTTATTTAAATTAAGATATAATGTCACTATTGCAGCTGCCACATATATTATAGTACTGTATAACAATTAGATAGTCAAGAAAATCGTTATATACCCTATTGCTGCCACTAAAATAAAGGTTCAAGCCAAATGACAAATCTGACCAGACATTGCAGAAGCTGCAACAGTGATTCAGGTTTACTCTAGAATAACCAAAGGTTATTTATAACCTTTGTTAGATCATTTAATAACACTGTATGTTAGGTACAATATAATGTATAGGAATAAAAAGCTCTACTATGTTATTGGTTCGAATCTATATATGCATTATCATAAATTGCTGTATACAAGACTCAGTCTCTTACATTCTACCAAAAAAATTAAATCAGAAAGGGTCTGATATCTGTAAGGGTCTTGTATACAGCAGTTTATAGTACTTTCCCAACAAAGGATTAAAATAATTAAAACATTTAGTTAAAAATATACACAGTATAAATAATATACATAATTGCAATAAAGATACTTACTATACCCTAAGTCCATTTGTGTATATATAATAAAGATAATAATTATAATCTGATTATGCAACCCTTACAATCAGGATTTATTATATTTTACTAACAATTATTTCACTAAAAGTTTATTTAGCTGATATCTGTAGGGTTTAAGAATAGTTGGTTAGTTGCAAGTAAATAAAATGACTGTTGGTAAGATGAGCAATATTACACAATTATAATTATAAGCTCAATATTCAAATTCATATATTTGTTATTACATAACAATATCTAAAAAATTTCATTATTATAGCTCATGTGTATATTTGATAAAAAAAAAATGTTTATATTTTGTCAGTTATAATTGGGTTTTATTGAAAATACTAGAAGACAAGACAATAAGCACTTGCTTCAAATATATTAGGTTTTATTATGCTCTGTATTAGGGAATACACTTCTAGTAATCTGGCAATTATTTTTTAAAAATACTAAGTGCTCAAAGGTAGTAGGTAAAAGTGCTGTTCTTTTTGTTGTCATCATATTTCCAGCATCACTAAAGAGTCTTTCACTTGGAGTTGAAGTCACTAAAATAGCCAAATATTGTCAGGCTAATTTACTCAATATGAAAAACCATTTTTGATTAGTACACTATCAGTTTAATAGACATTGATCTCATAAAAGTTCTTGAGCTCCAAGATAATCTGAAACTTCTAATTGTGGGCATCTTTTATGAAACATTGATGCCAATAAAGAATTTGAATGATTTTGAACACTATTATTATTTTCTTCAATTCTATATAGAACCCATGCTTTTTCATATTCAGCTTTAAGTAATTTGAAGACTCTATTTTTTAAAGATTCTGACATAAATGATAGAAGTTTACATTGAGAATTCAAAAGTGCTGCTAGCATATCTTCGTTACTAGGCACATTCCAATAATGCTCTATAGCATTATATAGTGCTGATTTTATTTTTTCATCAAGATTAACACAATTTTGTAGATTATTAATGTTAACTCATCATTTTTTGCTTGATTCATAATTTTCTTCTAATTTTTTATTACCTTCATAAACAACATCATCATCAAAAACATCACAAAAAAAATCAAAATCTATATTTGAATTGTTATTATATATAAGAAGCTTTTGCTTAATTACTGTAATCACACCATATATAAAACTAATAGTAGCATATTTGCTGCCTTCTAATAGTTCAGTTGCTTCAGCAAAAGGTCTCAGAATTGTAATTAATGATGCTATTGCATCCTACTCTTTATTTGTTAGATTAATTTTTTCTAAACAGGCATCATCTTTGAGAGTTTGTAAATCATTATCTAGTAATGAATTTGTTATTATTATACAAATAATATCCCAAATTTTTATAAGTCATTTCTATGAAAGATAAGATAAATTCCATCTTGTAGAAACATCGGTGATAACTAATAATTGATAATCATTATTCTCTAGATTCTGAAATAAATAAATTAATTAAAGTGAATTTATCTTATTATTTATTACATAATAAAAAAACACTTACAAGATTTTCAAACCGATGTACATTTTTTTGTATATTTATTAATCTTTCAGTTTGTTTTGGCATAGTAAAAAACAACATAAGCCTCTTGGCACATGCTATAAGAACTTCGGCATTTATTAACCCCTTTCCAATAACAAGTTGAAGAGTATAAGCAGTGCACAGAACTCGAATAATATTTGGCATGCATTTTATAGTCTTAACTATATTGCTTCTATTGTCCATCATAATAGTAAAAATTTTATTTGTTAATCCTATTTATTAATTACAAAATTTAATGCCTTAGCAATTGACTCTTCAGTATGGAGGTATGGTAAATATCTAATTGTAAGAACTAATTCATTTAATTGAAAATTATTGTCAATAAACAAGCACATAACCCCAAGGTATCCTATATGATTACGTCCTGTCCAAAGATCACATGTCAAAGAACAAGTAAAAACATTATTATTAAGTATATTTTTAAAGGTTTCTTTGAAACTTACAAAAGTATCTGTAAGTAATTTTCTGCAGAGTTTTTCACTTGGTAACTGATAATTAGGATCAAACTCTGCCAGAAACTTGATCAAACCAGCATCTTCTTGTATGCTAGCAGGCAATTGATCCTTGACTAACATACTAACAAACTTTTGATCCTGACTTGCCTTTCGTTTAGGATCAGTTGCCACCATTTTTTGAAACATCTGTTCAATATTTGGTTGTGTAGATGGCTTCTGCTTTTGTTTGTGTATTGTTTCTGTAAGAAAATGCCATGATACCAAGTGCCCAATAAAATTACTTGTCGAAGTATCCATTGACCCCATCAAATGGTCACATGATTGAAGCCTGCTCTTCTCATTAACTTTAAACAAACAATGAACTATTCATTTATAGGGTTCCACAAATTTATACAATTGATAATAACTCCATATCCAGCTTTTTTCAAGAACTTTGTTAATAGGTACCAGCTAAATGTCTTTAAGATTGGGTTTAGATAATTTATTGTCATAAGAACTATTTTCAGATGGTGTGCTACTAGCTACTTGATTACTGACAGGTTTGTTAATATCATTTAGTATCATATCATTTTTGTTAGGCCTTTTTTTTTTCTTTCTGCAGTTTTAGATAGGCTAATACATTTCTTGGTTGTCTTGTAAAGAATTCGCTACCTTCTAAATGTTCTTTAGATTCAGATCCACTATCACTCAAAGAGATAAGGTCGGATACTTCTTGCTCCATATACTCTATGTTGTTTTGATTCTATTTGTGCAAAGTAAAGATAATTTTCACGTAGTGATAGATTATCATATATATATATTTATGCACATAGTTAAAGATCACAAGATACATATAGTAATACAATTTAACTTCTTTATTATATGCTTATAAAGCTTATGCTTATAAAAATTGCTTAATTGCTTATAAAGAATTGCACTTATAAAAGATAATGCTTATATAAAGGTTTTTTATATTATGTGTTCATTCAAGGATGACTTTAGAGAAGCTTAACTGTACCAAAGTAATCGTCAAAAAAAAAAAAAAAAAATTATAAAATGCACATATAGTGCTTAACAATAATATATAAGATTAGAAGTTTAAGCTTAAAAGTTTAAGATTAGAAGTTTAAAGTTAGAAGCTTAAGATTAAAAATTTAAGATTAGAAGTTTAAAATCAGAAGTTTAAGGTTTGAAGATTTTTGAGGTGCAGAGCATCTTTACTTAGAGTACCAACACTTATGGCAAACTTTTTTTTAAAAAAAAGTTAAATTATACATTAAAATTAGAAAAGGTAAAAATAAAAAAAGCGAAAAACAGTAAAAAAAAAAAAAAAGAAGGTGAAAAGAGAAAAAAGAATGACACATATTTAATATTAGGTTAGACAAGCAATATTACAGTAAAATGTTCTCTACAGCATAATGTTCTATTTGTAAAAATGAAACTTAAAGTCAGTAATGTTTGGAATTTAATAAAAAAGAGAATGTCATATCCATTACTAATATATTTTTTTTATTCAAATGTTTGTTTTTATAACTTTTGCTCACAGTATTATACATATTAAAAATTGGCTTGTCAATTACTATATTAAGTTAGTTTAGATGTTCAATAAGAATAAATCAAAGAAAAATATATGTTAGCTAAAGCTACAGGTTTTTAGTTAGCTATAGATAGAGGTATGTACGTACTGGTCAAATTATTTTAAAAACTAATGGGTAATGGATGATTATCTGTAAAGTACTTACAGTATTTGGATATGTGATTACTCATGTAAATACCTGCAGATATATCTTTTTAAAAACTGACGGATAACAGTTACTATCTGTGAGACAATTATAATATTCAAATGTGCGATTAACAGTGCAAATATCTGTAAATGCGGTTAACAGTTCTGATCTCTATTCTAAAAACCTAAGTAAAGAAATAACCAAACTTTGATAATCTTATTATAAAAACTAGTTCAAAAAAATGAATATCAAGATTATAATATCTGATTATAATACCTAAATAGACAAGAATTTCCAAATTAAGAGTCTCAAAAGTATTACCAATCAAGCATCCAGAATAAAATAAAAGAAAAAGATATTAGACTAATCTGATATACTGATAAATTGATTATAGTTCTATATAAGCTATCTGGATTAAGAGTCTAATAAAAAAACAGGTAAAAAGACAAATAAAAAAACAAAAATATACTAAAATATAGGATTATATTGTAAAGTAGATGCTGAGATCTGTATAAACCCTACAAAAACATAACAGTTAAATGATATAACTCTAACTGCAAACATTGATTTTATCATAATAATACTTAAATTAACTTTAAAAATAAATACAAAAAACTCTGAGAGGTTTATCTTAAAGATAAAATAATCCTAAGGTTGAGATGATAATCTGAGCATCTGGGTATAACCTAATAATGTTAATACAGGTTGTAGGTTCAGAAAATTTAAAATAAAACACCTAAGCAAAAGTATTAGATATAGTAATTTGTAAGAAACCTTTAATAAACTCCTTAAATAAGTAATATAGAAAAGTTACACATGTAATCAATTGTACACTCTCCTGTAGTAATTCATAGAATCACATTACCAAAAAAATCATTAATAAAAATCAAAAAACCAAAAAAATCACCTTAACACCAAAAAAAAAAAAAATCTAGTTCTAAATATTTGTTATATTCACTCTGACTACTATACTATATTCATTTTAACAACTGAGTCTGAATACTATTATGCTTTGTGCTATTTATTAGTTTTAATGATATGCGTTATATTTGTTATGCTAAAATTATATTCAGATATATACTAGGAACCGAAAACCGGTATAAATATGAAGCTCGCCCCAGCTCCCGAAAAGTCTTGTTATGTACGTATGTCATAGATCAAATTTTCAGAAGCGTTACAGACGGAAAATACCAAAATTACATTTTTGATATTTTTACTATAAATGTATCAAGCGTAATTTTGGTCATCAAAAGACGGAGTCTGTTGCTTCGCTCCAGACAATTACACAATTTGGCCCAAATAGAAATTTATATAACTGTGTAATTTTCGTTATTTAGACTAATCCAAAGGGTATTTAAATTATTTATACAA